CATTTTTATTTATCTCATAGTCAGAATTCACATGAAATGAACAGATTTCCATCAGAGCTGAGCAGGAAACCCCTTAAAGACCAATGCTGATGATATCATCAGTCACACAGCTGCAGCTCCCTCGAGTCTGTGCCGTTCACACGCCATTAAATCCTCATTAGGCTCTAAATGAAGCTGAATAAAACGATGTGGCGCTCAAACTGTAGGAAGCTGACGGCGTTCATGTTTGTGTTGCAGGTTTCAGGATTCGGCTGCACGTTTCCTTCTGCTGCTGCCAAGTTTGCAAGTTGTGTTTGATGCAGTTGATGTTATGAAGAGAATGATGTCGTGTCACTGTGTTGTTGATTTCTGAAGGAATTTCTTTTTCTTCTCCACGTGTTTGTTGGTGACGCAGCAGCTTGTCTGCTCAGAGCCTCGCTGTACGTTCTGTTCCAGTGTTTTCATGCAATCTGGTCACTCTTGAGGTAATTATGGAAATTAAAAAAAGGTTTTTCACCGCTAACGTAGCTGCTCTTTGTTCTTTGTGGACTTTATTCTTAAAGCTGATGTTAAAGTTCTTTATAGTTCGTGCTTCATTGATTTTCTGTGCTAATTAATTACCACAGGTTTTGGTTTTCATTGAAAGCTGCAGTGTTCAACCTGCGTTAAAGTAAGATATTAAAGGAATGATCACTAAGTTAGCATTGGTTTGTGCAGCTAGCATGCTAACATAGAGGTTTTATTATCTAATGTGCAGGTTTTCAGACAGAAAATGATGTTTTGTGGTCAGTTAGGTGGTTTTAAACGTCGCTGTTTGTGGTTAAACATACAAAATTAATGATATCAGTAAATATAAGAGGTGTCAGGATGAGGAAATGATTAGGATTTAATGTTAGAACTGCTGCTAAACTTTGTGTTTGTGTTTACAACAGTCCAGACCGCGATGACTTAATCCGGTCAGAGCAGATGGGAGGAGTCGGGGGGCTCAGGTTTCACTCGGACTAATTATCTGAGCACTCGGAGGTGATTTCAAGTTCGTTTTGAAGCGCTGCGAGTTGTTTTCCTGCACATCAGACACTAAAAACAGACGTGAGCCACATGCACATGAGATATTAGATATAACATGATTAAAATAATTATAAAAACATGAACATTCTGAGAATCAGTGTGAGATTTTTGCAGTGATCATGTAAACAGGCTGCTGTTTCTCTGCTCCTCTGTGGTGTTCTCAACCTGCTTCTACACTCTGTGAGCTCTGCCGCTGAGACGGGGCAGAGATGGGATGAATGGGGGGAGGTGGGATGACGAGGGATCAGAGGTGGGGAGGAGGTTAATCCACTTGTCAGCGTGTGAGTGTTTCACCGTCGGTACGTCATGCTCCGGGAAAGACGGACGCGATGGTCTCCAGGATCGCTCAGTACCTTCATCTCAGGTGAGGAATCAGGAAAACTGCAGCTTTTCATTTGTAAAATGTGTATGTTTATCTACTTTAATTGATGCATGTGCTGTTAGCTGAAGGGATTGGCTCAGATTTATAGGAATGTATAAAATATGATTCTGTCCTGAGCTTTGATTTTAGTTTCTGTGCGTGCAATGTCATGCAAATGCTCCAGAAGTTGTGCAAATGTTGCCTCAAAGTGCTGCTTTCTGAGTGTGAGTGTTGCACTTTTGCAGGATCTGAAACTGGTGACATGCATTCATCCTGCAGTAAAGAAGATTTTAAATGTCACCTGATGCTTCTGTAAATTTTCCATGACAATAAATGAGTCACTTTTCTCACATATATCACATTATTTTTCTTACAGGATTTATGTGCAAGCATTTTATCTACATTCATGAGACAGTAACTCTAAACTCCAGTGAAATATGTCGTTTGTCTGCAGCTGAAGTTGTATTTATGCTGTCAGAGGAAACATCAGGGAGGAGGTCAGTAAAAGCAGCAGTCACGTCTTCATGCACCATCTTTAAAGTTGCACCAGAATTCAAAACTTTAATTTCAGTCACAGTCTGCTGTGCTGAACCTTGCTGTTACTAAAGTAGGCTTTTCATGTATTACTTTTACTTTTCTTGCTGCTTTTATGTGCTGCAGCTGCCTTCAAAAAAATATTATATAGTTTGTTTGAGGAAGTGAATGTCTTCACATCTTAAACCTCCGAGCTTCTAGGAATCACAAAACACAATAAAAATGACTTTTAACCATGCTTTTTTAAAGCTTTTAAAACTTTGCTGCTACATTTTAATACAATCTGCAAAACAGCCGATAAGATAAAACTTTATTGAGGAGGGAAGGAGGGTTTTGTGCCAGATGTTGCTCAGAAAAGCCAAAATGACACAAGAAATGGAGTAAATATAAAAGAAATGAAGGAAAAAAGTAAGACACAATGCTGAAATAAAATAAATGAGGCTGTAGTAGAAAAGTAAAAAGTAATGCTGGCAATTATACTGAGATAAGTATCTGAAAATCTCATCTAAGCACCTAAAAATAATATATACCAGATATTTGCAATTATTTAAAAGGGAAAAAAAATGCATCTTAGGAATTTAAAAAAAGAAATATAAATTTTTATTTGTTATTTAATTTTAGTTTTTTTTTTTTTTTTTAACAGATGTTCCCTGTTTTGTTAAATTACAAATAATATCAAGTGTCATCACAGAAAATAATATTAATTTACACGTTAACCATTAAAAAAAGAAGAGGCCAAAACTGTGACTAGTGTCCACATTAAATCCTTCTTATTTATTTTTTAAAATTTTATTTTACTGTATTTAAATCCGCAAAACAAACAAACAAAAGAGGAAAATAATCAGCACTATTTTACAGATATCTGCTGTTGACAGGAAAAAAATAGTAAGGATGGGAAAATGGGGAAAAAAGAAAGAAAGAAAAAAAGGAAATTAATAATATTAAATAACTGTCATTTTACATTTGATCATAAAATTACGCAATTTTAGCCGTATTTAAATTAATTTATTAATATCGCACCAGATGATGAAATATTGATCAAAATGCTGCAAATAAAAATAATATTAAATATTAGACATGAAATATGTGAAGTATTATAACATGTGAAAGCCTCTGTGTGCAGCAGCTCATTAACAGCTTGTATTCATTTAATAAATAAGTGCGTTATATGTAAAATGCAGACAATCTGCAGGTTTGGTCATGCGCAGTGCGCTCTGAGGACACCTGGGGGCGCTGCCACCTGTCAGACTTTGACCTGCACTTTCAGCCAATCGCTGAGCAGCTTCTAGTCCAGCCTCCGTCCCAACCTCCTCACAGAACCTCGAGCGGCGGACAGACGACGAGCAGCGCCGGAGGAGGGTCACGGAGGCCCGGAGATGGACGCAGCGCCCCGGTAGACGCGCCAGAGCCGGTAAAAGCGATAGATCCGCCATCGATCGGTGATCGGATGTCAGCCGTGAGCGGGCCGCGAGAAAGAAGAACCGGAGGGGAAACATGAGTCGGCAGCAGCAGCAGCAGATCCAGGGAGTGGTTCTGACGGGTTACCACAGCAACGCGGAACTGTTGCCGCAAACCAGGCGCTGCGCGTCCAGCTGCCCGCAAGTCCCGGAGTCCGCAGAGCCCAGGTGGGTCCAGGTGGAGGACTGGGTGGATGAGAGCTTCTCCAGGAGTCTGGCAGAGAGCAAAGGTCGCTCTGGTGCCGCTCCACTGGCCTGGGTCATGTGAGTTACTCTGGACACAGTTGAGTCCAGAATGGTCCCGTGTGGACACGTTTTGGGCAACATGGATCATTCTGGATGAGTTTTGCAGGAGTGGAGGTCAAACAGTCGTTATGCAGACCCGACCGGTACCATGAGAGCTCAGATACAGTTTATTAGTCTGTTATGTAACTGAAGCGGTGGTTCTGGAGCTGCTTCTTGTGTTTAGAGTCATTCAGAACAAATGTTTAGTCCTTGTGGACACGTCTGAGTCCCTTTAGAGGGGTTTAGGACGAGTTGCAGGTCATGTTAGACAGTTTTAACTTTAAATGGACCAGTCTGGCTCATTCTGGGTCATTCTGGGTCATTCTGGGTCATTCTAGACGCTTGTTTCAGACCAATAATAATGTTTTGGTCTCATCATTTGCTTCTGCAGGCAGGACGGTTGTTCTGCTCTACAGTACAATCAGCTGGACACGCTGCAGGTGGTTTTACACGTTTTTTACTGATTTTGGACACATTTGAGTTCATAGTGAGTCCGTTCAGACACTTTCTTACACGTTTTTATTCATCATGCTGACATGAGAGCTCAGATGAAGTGTTTTAGTGTTTGTTATGTAGCTCAGGTTCTGGTTCAGTGGCTCATTCTTGTATTTTGAATCATCACTGAACAAGTTTGAGTCATTTAGAACAAGTTTTTAGTCCTTTTGGGTTCGTTTGGGTCCCTTTAGAGGTTTGTTGCAAGTAACTTTAGACAGTTTTAACTCCTGAAAGAGTTGATCTGGACATTTTTAAAACTCGTTTTGTGCAAAATAAACAGTTTAGAACTCTTTGTAGACACATTTAGGTCATTTTGGACGCTTGTTTTTCAATGATTCAAGTATTTCTGGTCCAGCTTTAACTCATTCTGAAAAACTTGTGCTTATTTTGAACAAATTTAAGTCATTTAGGGAAGATTTGAGTCCTTTGGGACATGTTTAAATCCCTTTGCACACTTTCTGAGTTAATGTGGAGAAGCTGACAGTAGTTTTAGGCAGTTTTAACAAGTTTTGGACAATTTTGAGTCCAAAAAGAGTCGTTTTGGACACTTTTTAAACTCATTTTGTGCAAAATGAACAGTTTTGAACTCTTTGTAGACTCATTTAAGTCATTTTGGACGCTTGTTGTTCGATGTTTCAAGTATCTTTGGTCTGACTTGAACTCATTTTGAAAAACTTTTGCTCATTTTAGACACTTGTTTTAGGCTGTTCTTGTAGTCTGAGTCTTTAGAGCAGACCTGAGTCGTTTTGAATTAGTTCTGAGTAACTTTGGGCAGTTACTGGACACATTTAAGTCATTTTGGAGAAACTTGAGAAACTTTAAACATTTTCTAACTCACTTTCGAGACGTTCTGGTCATTCTGGACACTCGTTTTAGGCTAAACAGTCATTTTTTGGTCAATCACTCATCATTTTGCTTCTGCAGGCAGGACTGCTGTAGTCCACCATGAGGAGTTATGTAGAGTATAATAAGGTTTTTATATGTCCCAGGTTCTGGTTCAGTGAGTCACTGTTGTATTTTGAGTCATTTTCACGAATTTTGAGTCAGTTTTTATCTTATTTTTGGACAGTTTTAAGTCCAAAATCAGTCCATTTGGATGCTTTATAAACTCATTTTGGGCAACTTGGAGCCATTTAGGACAAATCATGGAGAAGTTTCCGGTACTTTAAGGACAGTGTTTAACTCGTTTTTGACTAATTTTAGTCTTTCCAGACAAATGTAATGAAATTTGGTCCATTTTTGCGTCATTGTGGACAAATTTCACACACTTTGGGGTAATTTTTGTAATTATTTGGGCAAATTTCAAATAATTTTGTACAGTTTTTCCTCATTTTGCACAATTTAAGTCATTTTGGAACCAGAAATATCCACAATGAGTTTATTTGGACACTTTTTAAACTATATTTGTGCAAAATGAATCCCTCTTGACAAGACGTGCCTCATAGAAATACATGAGAGCTGTCAGGACGCCCGCCAGGGTCAGTCTGAGTCAGTCTGGACAATGTTAAACTGATTTCAGAGGCGTGTGATTAATTCTGGACAGTGCAGGCTGTTTCTGACGCTCAGTTTAGACCAAACAGTCGTTTCTTGGTCAGTCACTCACAGTGAGGAGTCATAGTGAGGTTTTATTTGACCCGGGTTCTGGTTTAGTGGGTCATTCTCATATTCTGAGTCCTGTTTGACGGTTTTCTTCCATCGTAGCTGCAGGACAAGCAGCCGTTTTATTGGTCAGTCACTCTTATCATTTGCTGATGCAGCAGGACTCCAGGTTGAAGTACGCCGGGCCTCATGTGCAGTAATGTTATGTAACACAGGTTCTGGTTCAACAGGTCCGTTCTGAAGAGATGGTTGGTTCAGTCTGCATCATTTAGGACACATGTTTAGTTGTTTTGGACCAGAGTTCGTCGTTTTGGAGGAGTTTCATGCATTTTCTGGACAGTGTTTAACTCATTCTGGTCAAGTTTGAGTCACGTTTCAGAACTTTTATATGAGCTTCAGTTTGAGGTTCAAGTTCTGTCGGATGTTTTTCAGATCATTTGATTGTTTGAAGTCGTTTTGGGGCAGTTTTTGAGTGACTTTGACTTTCTAGAGCTCATTTTGGATGATTTGAACTGTTCTGAGGTTTCATTCCTACAGTCTGTACTAGGGCTCAGATTCAATCCAGAGCTAAATCTAAATCAGACGCACTTTAAATCATAACAGCATATATGAACACATTCTGTATGCACGTATAGAACGGATGCATCTTTAGACTGTCTCTACACTTTATAACGACAATAATACGAAATCTCTGAATACGAAATCAGTGCAACCAGTTCTTCTGGCTGATCAGACCTTCTTCACTTCAGTGTTATGTGAGGAGCTTTCTGGTGGAGAAACTCAACTTAGTCCTGGACTAGAATAACTATTCAATTAAGATCTCCACTGAAAAAATGTGTGAAGTCCAGGTTTGTTGGTCTGAGAATCATCTTCTGTCAAGTCTTTGTCATTTAAAACTGTTGCTGAGATTCAGTGATGGTCTGAAATGATCACATGACAGAATCATTTTCCGGTTAATTGATAAAGATTAAATGATTTTATGATTAAACGGCTGTCAGGAGTTCTAAAATCAAATAAAAATCTGTAAAATACTCAACTTTTTAGACCAACAAAATATTTTTGAAACCAGAAAATTAGACAGTTCATAGGAAATTGATTGATTATCTGAGCAAAAATATTAAAATTTGGTTCTTTGCTGTAAACTAATTATCTTTTAAACGGACAAGAACTCTTATTTGAATTTTGTCCAAAGATATTCAGAAAAAAAACAGAAAATATTCACATTTAAGAAGCTGAAATGACAGAATTTGGACTGTTTTTTCTTTACAGATGGACTCCAGTTGATAGTTTTTTTAATTGAAGTGGTTTGTAATTAACTGATTAGTGAACAGGTGACAGCTGGTTGATTAACTGCTGCTGCTCCAGTGACAAACTAAAGGAAACAGCAAGTTTCTGATCTGGATTTCTGCAGCTTTGTTGAGATTTTTGACATGTTGGTGCAAAGATCTGGAGTTTTTTTGCACTGGTCAGACTCTCCAGTGACTCATTCATTCTCTTATTTCAGTTTAATTTGTTGGTTTTTTTTCGTGCAACACAACCAGCATCTGGTGGTCGCTGCTTTCTGCCTCCTCGTCAGCTTCTCTCTCCTCACAGTAACTGAAGGATCCCGTCTCAGCAGCAGCCATGAATGGAAACCGTCACACTCTTTTATTTATACCGGAGCCGCTCCTGGCCGCGGCCTGTTTGTGTTTACACCCACCACCGTGTGGCGGTAAACAAGCCGGACGGACACACCTGCCCCTCGCTGCTCGTCCTGAGCCGGCGTTCCAGATGGTTCGTCCGAGCGAGGCAGGAAAAAAACGAGCAGCATCACGTTACAGCCGCCTTTGTCTCGCCTCCTTGTCTCGGTGTTGTGGTTTCCTTCGGTCAGGAAATGAGACGCAGACGGACAAACGGACAGAAAGACGCTGGCGTGGGACGAGCGGAGGACACCCGACCCGCCGGGCTTTAAGTTACTGTCTGCAGCCGGGTTTTCTTTGCTTTGTTTCACGGGCGGGGAACGAGCTGCAGAACCCGGTGCTTCCCGGAGCGTAAGTCGGTCAGCGGACACATGGTTCACATTAGTGTGCAGTGATGTCAGAGCAGAGCTGGACCAGGAGATCCACCACAACAGGCCGACGGTTCATTCAGTCGCTGGCTGCACTGTAGAAATACCAGCTGTTAAATACAGTCCAGTCATCTACAGTTTGCTTGTTTGGCAGATTTTCTCAGTTCAGTTAAATTAAACATAATATCTAGTAAATCACAAGAAAAAAGCCTGAATTTACGTGTTGACTTAAAAAGCTAAATAATCAAAAAAAAAAAAAAAAAAAACTGGTTAAAACTGTGAATAATGTCGTAATCAAACATCTCAACTTCTTTTACAACATTTGACTGTAAAATTAGAACATTTATGCTGTATTTAAATCAGCAAATATGTAATTATTTTACAGATATTTTCTCTATTTGCACTATTTTGGTGTATTTTTAAAAAATCATTATTCTTATTCTTAATTTTTTTACAGGGTATTTTTTGTTCAGTGTGTGTCGGAGGGGAACAGAGGCAGCGTCTGTGTGCACAGATGGCAGCCAGCATCTGTTCATGTCAATGGGAATAACACACACACACACACACACACACACACTCACACACACACTCGTCATCCTCTTCCTCTTTCTTATTTTGGTCGTAGACTTCCTCAGCTGTTCACTTTATAGTTTAAATGACCGAACCATGGAAATAAATCTGACTGCTGATCACGTCCGTCTCTATTCAGGGACTATTTTTGAACCTGTTTTCTACTTTTGTG